CAGAAGATAATTTAGGTAGGCCTTCTTAAGTAAATCCATTCTAAGAGGCCTACCCAAGAAGGGCTGAAAAAGTGCTTCTTGCATGCCTTCTAGACGGGCTTATCCATTTACATTTTACGCGAATGCATTACAAATGAGTTTCAATAAACATTTTAAGTTGCAATAACACATATTTGATATAAACCTTAAGCAAATACTTCAAAGATGTGGCGAAAGAAGAAGCCCTTCAATTTGTGCCACTCCATACAAAAAAGAAAGGAGAAGGGAATGTAGAGTGGAGGGCTTCTTGGCTCTCAGGAAGGCCTTTCAGAAGGGCTTTTAACTCCTGAAAGTATCTACTGGGCATAATCGCTAAAACTGCCTTTACATGAGGCGATTTTTTGACAGGCGATACTCGCATGCAAAAGTTGACTTGCTGTCTACTTTGAAGCAAGCGATTTTTGGATCACTATTTACACGAGCGATTTTTCCAGAGCAATGTTGAATCGCCTGGAAAATCGACTCATGTAAAGGCAGCTTAACAATCGACCAAATCATCTCGGCCTCGCTGCTGGCCAGCGCTTGTTAAAACCAGTGTTGCCAGAACTTTTTGGACGAACTGGCTAAATTGGCAAAAAAAACGGCTAAAAACGGCTAAACTGTTACAACTAAATTTCACATGTTTTATTTAAATACATCACGAGTAGAAAGACTATTTCTTAGAGAGAAGTTACAAATTCAAGCCGGAAAAAATTTTGCCAGCAAGAATTTGCAATTATGTAGGAAAACATATGATTGTGGCACATGGTTGGATTTTTTGTCGACCATAATTTGAATAAACAAGTTCGTTAAATTTAAAAATTTACAAACTGGAGCGGTTTCAAAATGAAAAATGTAAGTAAATACTTGTTTGTTGTTTAGTTAATTCCAATGATTTGAAAGGAGCTCGGCAAAAAAAAAAACTGTATTCGTAATCGGAATGCAATCTCAACCAGAGTCGATATAGTAATCCCGACAAAGAAATTGAAACGTATGTTGAAGAAAGCCGGACTGACAAGATATATACTAGTGATGCGCGATATTTCACTACCGGTGATTTTATCATTGTGATTTAAAAATCGCTAATAGTGACTGCTACAGCTAGGCCACAATATCAGTGATTGGTGATTTTTCTACTCGCATGATATTTCGCTGTGAATGAAAATCACACCTGGCAATAGCTAGTCAACAAAAGTTGCAAATGGTGATTTTCCTCTATCATGGTAGAAATTGCGGTTTTACAATTTTTTATTTTGCATTGTGAATATGGTTGTTTTAAATGGACATTTTCATTCACGCAGTTTGATTTGCTTTATCGCGTTATTTGCGTTTCAGTTTTTTATTTCAAAATTTGTATCAACGAGTTAAGATATAGTTTGCGGTGCTAAGATCTACAACCCTTATCAAGGGGTTTTAAGCGGCGGCTTAAACGTGCGGGACCCCGCATTTGCGGAATTGGATTGATTCCCTAGTCATGACAGTATTGTGCGGTGTAAACCCTAAGTTATTAAAAGACCTAGCGATCGCAATAGCCATAAAAATCACTGTGATTTAAAAATCGCATTCACTCTTTTCACGGATACTGAAAAATCACTATTTCGCCCATCACTAATATATACACGTAGATCCTGTTTTTTGCCCCTCTGAGAATTTTGAAAATTCTATACAAATTTCTTTTGTTTGAAATGCAACCGTGGACACTAGCTGGCAGAAAATTGCAAGTTTCTCTATATGAGAGAGAATTTGGGAACATTTTTTCTTACAATCTGATATTTTGAGTGATAATTCTCGCTGGATTTTCGACGAACAAACCTATTGTCTTCCCTACAAGGACTTTTCAGACTGACCGATTCTCAAAACACTCAAATAAAAACCAATTCCAAAAAATTTCCCTTCAATTTTAAGGCAGTAAAACAACGACCTTAAGTTAACATCAAGGGATGTTGACAAGGGATGCACAATCACAGTTACACAAAATAACTGGTCAGATTTTTCAGAAATCCTTTCAATTCCGATGTAAAATATGATGCCAAAAGGCTGCAGATCTCCCATTTAGATGACCGGTCATATGACCGGCAGATGTCTTGTAGGGTTCCCAGAGAGTTTTGCTTTACATAGAAATTTGTGCTCTTTTAATTTCATTTTGACGCATTTCTGTGTTGGTTCTTTTAATTCAAGTTGGCATTCGATTTTTGGAACTTAAAAAGTTCTCAGCAAAAAAGTATGTTTAAAAAAATACATTGTGTACATAGTGCTTGAAAATATCAATTTTTCCCTTACCTTAAACCTTTGGGAGTGGGCAAAAATTATGTTTTGTAATTTAGGTAGAATTGAATATGCGCTATCTGGGAAGACAATATCTACATGTAATATTTATTCTGTTTGTTGGCACTATATCCAAACACAAACGCATCTTAAGTGTCTTAACATTGAAACAATTTGTTATTTTCTAAGTTTGCGAATAAAACTTCACAGTTAAAATTAAGACATTTATAACAAACATTTTATGAAGTAAATCCCTCTTCGTTTAAAAAAAAATAACGAAATCAGCCCAATTTCATACAACCCTGCCTGACATGAAAATTTTCTCCACGATAAGGCTAGTAGCCATTTCTAACAGATTTTGGGTCGTTTAGTCATAAATGGAAACATATATACATATTTGAATTTTAAGAAAACAAAGCAAATAGAAAAATCGGCTAAAAACGGCTAATTTTTTTTTGCAAATCGGCTGCCGGCTAAATCGAAATTTCTCCGGCTGTTTGCTATCGCAACTGGCTAAATCTAGCCGGAAAACGGCTAAAATGGCAACACTGGTTAAAACATCTCGATGGTTATCTGTCGCAGACTCTGGCAACGAATTGCCAGTCGCATCCTGAATTACTTTGTTCGCTCCCCCAATTACGATCGCGAATACGGTTGCCAGACGTACTGATTTTATCGGCACAGTACTGATTTTTTTTAAATTTGTACTGAATTTTCAATTCTGATCATAGAAATTTGTATTAGGGTCATTTTCACCGAACTTGTTACTCGGTTACTCAGTTTTCGACAGTTTTTCGCCATGTATATTGCTTGTGTAATATTATTTTACTCAAACGAAATACATTAGGATATTTTTTAAGGTTTTTACATAACTTTGGAACTTCCTTAATATCAGTTTTCACAAAAACAGTTATATACCATATAAATTAGAGAAAAAGGCGGACCACGTCTGTATTTTTACTTTTTTTTGTTTTTTACATGCAATAATTAAAAATAATTTTTTACCAAAGGTATATCTTGATTTTGGAGGCTAACTTCGAAAAACGGAGAAGTTACTTTTTTACTTATAACTCAATCTCTTAAAAAAAGTTGGTTTGGTCCAATACCCAGCCGAGTGCTGTACAGTGTTATTGATATTTACCCATCACAGCAAAATATGTACTTTTTATACCCGAGCGCACTTGTGCACAAGGGTATATTAATTTTGTTCACATAACGGTTGTTTGTAACAGCCAAAACGAATCGAGATAGATATAGACAAATGTATACATAAATGATCAGGATGAAAAAAGAAATCGATTAAGCCATGTCTGTCTGTCCGTCCGTCCGTGTACACGATAACTCGAGCAAAAATTGAGATATCTCAAAAAAATTTGGTATGTAGGTTTCCCTTAATCCAAGGTAGGTTGGTATTGAAAATGGGCGAAATCGGACTGTAACCACGCCCACTTCCCATATAACGGTAATTTCCAGAAATACGAAAACTGCGATATTTTAGTAACTACTGAAGATAATTCACTTAAAACTGATATTTACAATAATTTTTAGACGAAAAATAAGAATATTATAAAATTTTGGAAAATGTATATCTTGGTAACCGCTGCACCAATTTCTTCCAAACTTGGCACAGTTGTTGGCCTTGGTACAGCATACAAAATCGCCGAAAATTTTTAAAATCCGACGATAACCACGCCCACATCACATATAACGGTAATTTAGAGAAATAAAAAACCTTAGATAAATCAGTAAATATTGAAGCTAATTTATTCAAAATTGATGCTTGCAACAACTCTTTATCAAGAAATACGTTTATGGTAAAATTTTGGAAAATGGGCGTGGCACCGCCCACTTATGATCACAAATACGTAAATCGGTAACCGTTCTACCAATTTGTACCAAACTCGGTGTGGTTATTGTGCTTGCCACATATAAGCAAAACGTTGAAAATTATTGAAATCGGACTAAAATTACGGCCGCTTTTCATATAACGGTAAATTTCAGAAATGCTTGAAACTTCAATATTTCGAAATTTAAGGACGCTAATTTACTCAAAATTGATACACCCGGCTTACCATCTAGCGGTAGGTTTCGGAAAGGTGAAAAAACATATATTTAATACTTGCGCCGGGTATTTAATGTTCGGCTCCGCCCGAACTTAGACTTTCTTACTTGTTTAACCTAACTTACAAATACTTAAGCTTCCCACTGTTTAAATAAGGTGCTTTTAGTAAAACCTAAATAAATACTCATCAAATCAGTAGTGTTCATTTTACTCACGAACTATGTGTCCTCAATAGTGACTCATCCACCTGTCACAAAATGCTGTCCCACCCGACACTAGCTAAAAATGTTTTATTTTTTATTTTTTAATGCTCAAATATAATAATTCCATCAAAGCATAAAATGGACCTTAACATTCTTTTATCCTGAAAAACCCTGAAGTTTGTTTGTGAATATATGTAGCTGATTTTTTCAAGATCGGTCATTGGGTGCTATAAAAGACTGAAATCACTAATATCACTAAACTCATTCGACTGAACTATTGGTGCTTTTACATGGAATTCGCTACTATATTATCCTATATGTAGTTGTCTCTTTTCAAACAAATATTATTATGCGATTAATAACGTGTTATACAACGCAAAGAATGGCATATGGATATGGCTAATATGCAAATGTGTTGGTTTTTATTGACAATTTTGTAAGTGTATTGGATAATGCGTTAGGTCGTTCTTGCTGGGAGAGAGCTTAGTCATTATACATGCTCTCGCTTTGTGTGCAGTGTTGCCGCGCCCAAAAAATAAAGTTTAACAAAATCTTTCAAAAAGTTTAACAAATCCCGTTAAAATTAAGCAACTTATTTATCGGGTCTTATTAAAACAAAAAATGCCTGGAGTTACTGTTTGTTTCTTCCTGAGCTTGTCAAATTGGTTATAGAAATAAAAAAGTAAGCAAGTCAGTAAGTTAAGGCTCTCTAAGGCTGAGTTTTGTCGTCAAAAGTAAGGATGTTATAGTCTAAGGGCCAATTTCAAATGAATATTTAAATAGTTTAATTGTGGATTGTTGTTTAAATGCCATTTAGCTTTCGTTGGGTTTCAGATCAACTTTGTTTAAATATGCCAAACAATTGGCAGCGCTGCTTCTTATTCCTTGAATTTGTTGTTGCATTTGCAAGTTTGTTTACATTTTCTGCTGAACAGCTGATTAGGTGGGATTTGGTGGGATGGATTAAACAACCTACCAATCAATCTTGGTTGTTTGGTATAAACACAGGGTTTCATATCTCATATTTAAATAGCAAAATTGGCCATTTAAGTGCAGACTAAATGTATGATCTGAAAAGGAATAGTGGAAATTAATCAACAATATCTACTTAAGTATCGGGCCTAACAGTTGCCAAATTTTAAAACTATTACACATTCTCTCAGGCTTTCAATAATATAATAATAGTTATCTGCCCTTTCGCTAGTTTTTTGAATGCATGCAAAAAACGAGTTAGGCATCATGTTATCCAAAATGTGCGTGTTGATCTTGTCACGCAAATGAAGGGACCTAAAGTTCTAGGTCAATGGTAATGGCAGAAGTACACT